ACCCTTTTTTTTGCTTTTACAAGTATACAGGTTCCAGAAACAAAGAAGACAAATACGTCTCAAAAGAGTTAACAAAAGGGTTACACCTATTTGGAATAGCGAGCAAATGATAGCATTCGTCATCTTGATCTGAGAAAATCAATGCGTGAAAATTCTACAATGGGTATATATCACACATAATATCTTTTGACTGCATCTGCATTAATAGTCATGTTTGGTACCCGTCCTTCTTCATCTACCAAGTGCACGGCTCCTTTTGGTAACACTTTCTTGATGATGTAGGGTCCTTGCCAGTTCAGGGTGAACTTTCCTTTAGCTTCTAGGTGCGGAAGGATGCGTTTCAAAACGAGCTGGCCTACCTCAAACTGCCTTGGGCGCACTTTCTTATTGTAAGAGCGTGCCATTCTTTGCTGGTATAACTGGCCGAAACATACTGCTGCTAGCCATTTTTCATCAATCAACATCAGTTGTTCTAATCGGGTGTTGACCCACTCAATGTCTTCAATCTCTGATTCCACAATAATTCGGAGAGAGGGAATTTCGACTTCAGCGGATATTACAGCTTCAGTTCCATATACAAGCAGATACGGAGTTGCACCAATAGATGTGCGAACAGTCGTGCGGTATCCCAAAAGAGCAAACGGCAACTTTTCATGCCATTGGCTGGAACCTTGGATCATCTTCCTAAGAATCTTCTTGATGTTCTTGTTCGCCGCTTCAACGGCTCCATTGGCTTTTGGCCGGTAAGGGGTAGAATGGCGATGCATGATTTTAAATTATTTGCATACCTCTGTCATCAAATGACTATTTAGATTGACTGTATTGTCAGTGATAATGGCCTTTGGGGTACCAAAGCAATAGATGATGTTGGAATGAACAAAGTCTACCACTGCTTTTTTGGTGACTGCTTTGAAAGTGACGGCCTCCACCCACTTGGTGAAGTAATCAATTGCAACCAAAATGAATCTATGCCCATTTGAAGCCTTTGGCTCGATTGGTCCAATAACATCCATTCCCCAAGCAACGAAAGGCCAAGGAGAGGACATGGGATGCAACTACGAAGGAGGCGAGTGAATCAGGTCAACATGAATCTGGCATTTGCGACACTTGCAAACAAATATGAAGCAATCTTGCTCCATAGTAAGCCAATAATTCCCTGCCCGCAGAATCTTCTTCGCCACAACATATCCATTCATGCGAGGTACGCGTACCCCTGAATGCACTTCACTCATGATCCGCTCCGCTTCTGTAGCATCTATGCATCTCAACAAGTTTAAATCTGGGGTCCTCTTGTACAGAATTTCCCCATTCCGGAAGAAACCACTGCGAGCCGCCTTATAGTTCTATTTTGATCTCCCTTGGCATGCTCTGGATATTCTCTTGTTTTTAGGAACCGTTTTATGTCATGATACCATGGTTCACCATCTGGTTTTGTCTCAATTGTATTGCAGTAACCGTGTTGATTCTGAACTTGGATTTCTAGTGGATCAATATGAGTGTTGCCTGGATAAGGGAGCATCGAGGCTAAAGTAGCCAAGGCATCGGCTAGCTCATTGTGAAACCTGGGAATGTACCTGAACTCGATGGATTTGAATCTTTTGCTCGAGTCTTGCATACATTGTCTGTACAGAATAAGCTTGATATCTCAAGTCTCCCATTCGCCTTGGGCTTGCCGGATAAGCAAGTCGGAATCTCCCATAACCAATAGTTCATGCACATCCAGATCGATGGCCATTTTCATACCCATGATACAAGCATCGTATTTTGCCGTATTATTGGTACAGAAGAACCAAAGTCGGGCCATTGCAGGGTAATGATTTCCAATAGGTGAGATGAGGATTGCCCCGATCCCAATTCCCTTGATATTGACAGCCCCATCAAAATACATTTTCCATACAGGGTGATCGTCTGGAACTACTTCCTCTATTGAGTTGACCTCTTCGTCTGGGAAGTTTGTGCTAAGCGGCCTATATTCATCATCAACTGGATTCTCTACCAAATGATCTGCAAGCCTGTGCTTTCATCGCGGTGCGAGTGACATAGACGATGTCGAACTCTGTGAGCAGGATGTGCCATTTTGCGAGCCTGCCAGTGGGGCATTGGCTTTTGGAAGATGTACTTCAAAGGATCCATTCTGGATATGAGGTATGTAGTGTAGGCCAAAAGATAATGTCTCAGCTTCTGAGCGACCCAAGTCAAGGCACACATGTCCTTTCTAAAAGGGTGTACTTAACCTCATAATTGGTGAACTTCTTGCTCAAATAATAGATTGCCTGTTCCTTTTTGCCTGTTGCATCATGTTGCCCCAGAACGCATCCAAAGGAATTATCCATCACCGATAGATATAAAAACAAAGTCCTACCAGGTTCAGGTGGGACCAGTACATGGGGTTTCGATAGATAATCTTTGATCCTGTCAAAAGCTTTTTGGCAATCGTCCGTCCACTTGATAGTGGCATCCTTTTTCAGCAACTTAAAGATGGGCTCGCACGTGGTTGTGAGCTGAGAAATGAACCTACTGATGTAGTTCAACCTCCCAAAAAAACTCATGACTTCCTTTTTGTTCTTCGGGGGTGGCAGATCTTGAATAGACTTTATCTTAGATGGATCGAATTCAATGCCTCTCCGGCTGACTATAAAACCAAGGAGTTTCCCAGATAGAACCCCAAATGCACACTTGGCTGGATTAAGCTTAAGGTCATACCTTCGAAGCCGTTCGAAGAACTTTTTCAAATCGCACACGTGATCAGCTTGTGTCTTTGATTTTATGATGACATCATCGACATACACTTCAATCTCTTTGTGTATCATGTCGTGAAAAATGGTGGTCATGGACCTCATGTAAGTTGCTTCTGCATTCTTTAAACCGAATGGCATGACCCTGTAACAATAAGTACCCCATGGAGTGGTGAAAGCGTTCTTTTCTGCATCATCCTCATCCATTAGAATTTGGTGGTACCCAGCGTAGCAATCCACGAACGATTGTATCTCATGCTTTGTGCAATTATATACAAGAATGTGGATATTTGGCAAAGGAAAATTATCCTTTGGACTTGCTTGGTTCAGGTCCCTATAGTCAACACAGACTCTAGTTTTTCCATCCATCTTTGGCACATGCACAACATTTGCCACCCAGGTGGTGTATCGGACAACTATGACCACATTGGCGCTCAGTTGCTTCATTATTTCCTCTTTGATTTTGTCACTAATGTCTGTTTTAAATTTTCGTTGCTTTTGTTGGACTGGCGGAAAACCATGATACATAGGAAGCTTATGAACCACTAGATCAGCACTTAAACCCGGCATATCATCGTAAGACCAAGCAAACACATCTTTGTATTCAAATAAAAGTTGAATCAAGGCATCTCTGGTTTTTTGTTTAGTGTGAATGCTTATCTTCCTTTCTCTAACTTCTTCATGAGTTCTGATATTAATCGGCTCAATTTCATTGAGGTTGGGCTTAGGCTTGTTTTCAAATTGTTCCAACTCTCTTTTTATTTCCTCAACAACCTCATCTTTATCATATTCAACCTCTTGATGCATTATTTCGATATTAGACAACTTTTTAAGATCTGGGCGTGAATTCCACAGGCATGTCATGTTATTAAAGCCGGCATTAACAAAACTGAAATGGAAATAAAATGATAGGAATTAGGAAAAGGAAAAGATACAAAACTTAATAGGAAACTGAACTGCATTTCATTGAATTCGAAAGGATAGAAGGGTTAATATCAAAATAAAACAATCATACTGAGATATTTGGATTACAACCCTTAAAGTAACCCAAAATACAAAAAAGAAACTGCAAAAGCAAACTACCAAAACTCCTTCCTTGTGGAGAGAGGAGTTGCTTCCCAGTTATTGAGCATGGTTTTTGGGCCAATTAGTTGCATATCGGCACCACTAGTGCCTTCACCAGCCTGGATCATATTCACTTCAGAAAACATCTGGCTGCGGCCATGGCTAATTTCATCAATGTTTTCCTGTACCGAGTAATTTTGACCCTCTTGGAGTCGTGGCTTAACAAAAGTGTAGAAAATGTGAGGGATAGGTTGTTGCAAGACCCATCCATGCTTTTGCGGTGCTTGGTTTTGTCTTCGTCTGCTTGTGTTGGCCTAAAACCTAAGGCAAAAGTACCCTGGTTAGTGAACGGAGAAATAGGCTCCGAAATTCCTTGCAATGATGCCCCCAAGCCTTTTCCTGGATCATAACCTTGTCTCAGCATAAGTGCGGCCACCATTACAGATGTGGCGGAAAGACGAGGATGCAAAATGGGTTTTCCTTCCACAACATGGTCCACTGCAACCACTTCAAAAGCCTGATAGACAATGGACTCATACCCTTCCTTGGCCTCAATACAAGGGATTAATGGGTATTTATATATGGAAGACTCGTCTTCCCCGTGAACAATAATTTATTGACTGTCATTTTCGAATTTGAGCATCTGATGCAAGGTGGATAGCACAGCTCGAGCCGTATGGATCCATGGCCTTCCGAGAAGAAAGTTATAAGAAGTTACCATGTCCACTACTTGGAAGACAATCTCAAAGTCAACCGGCCCAATCATCATGGTGAGGTTGATCTCCTAAATGGTATCTCTCGCTGGCCATCAAAAGCCCGGATGCGAACATTGCTGGTTCAGATTCCGTCTGTATTGATCTTCATGCTTTGCAAGGTAGAGAGAGGGCATACATCTACACTTGAGCCTCTATCAACCATGACTCGCTTTACATAATGCCCCTCACATTTGACCATCAAGTGCAAAGCCATATTGTGCCCGGCTCCCTCCTTGGGAAGTTCATCATCGGTAAAGGAGATTTTGTTCACCTCGAAAAATTTGTTGGCCATCTTCTCTAACTAATTCACTGTGGTCTCCTCTGAGACATGTGCCTCGTTTAGGATCTTGATTAGTACACGGGCATGCTCTTTAAAATGTATGAGTAGAGATAGTAGAGAGATTTGGGCAGGAGTCTTTCTCAACTGGTCGATGATTGAGTAATCCTAAACTTTCATATTTTTCAAAAAATCTTCCGCCTCTGCTTCAGTGACTGGTTTCTTTATTGGCAATTGGCCATCTCTGATTTGCTTGGCCTTTCTCAACTCTTCTAGTGAGTAACATCTCCCCGATCGAGTCAAACCTCCAGTTTCCCCCACTTCCTCTATGATTTCCTTGCCTTTCAAGGTCATCACAGTTTTGTTGTAGTTCCAAGAAGTGGTTTTCGTGTTTGTCACAGGGGGTTGCACGGCAGGTTTGATTATGATTGGCTCTGTTATACCTTTCGTACCTCCCTGATTCTGCCTAGTGATGGGGTGGCCTCCAAGTACATACAACCTTGGGCTTGGATCATTGGAGCGAACTTCCAACCTCGAGACCTTGGGAACAAATAAAGTTTCTGAGCTCGGGGCACCTTTCACAATGAACATCATATCTCGGCTTGGGCTTACTTCTAGACCTGTTCCTTCTTGAATTGCACCCACTGTCATTTCTGCTCGACCGAGCGGCTTGTATTCTTGATCTCGGTCGATCATTCCCACAAAATGAACATCATTGTGTGCTGGAAACGAGTTGTTTGTCACATTAGAAGGGTCCTCGCCATTCGTCACTACAATCAGTTTTTCAGAAATGAGTCTCTCTATGGCTCTTTTCAGAGTCCAACAGTCATCAGTGCTATGCCCCGGGGCACCTGAATGATATTCACATCTAGCATTTGCTTGAAGTCCATGTGAATCAGGATGCATATGGTGGGGAGCGATGGGTCTAATCACGCCCATTTGCTTCAACTTTTGGAATAGACTAGAGTGTGATTCAGCCAATGGAGTGAATTTTTCCGCCGGCCTCTGCTCTCGACCATAATCCTGCTTGGGACGAGCACTGTAGGGTGCCCGAAAATTTTGCTGCTGAGGTCGGGGGATCCTTGGAGCTGGTGCCCGTACCTGCTGATTGGGGGGCCGAGTGTAGGATTGAGCATTAAACACTGCATACTCTGGTGGGTGCACGGAGTATTGAGGAATTGGTGGGGGATAATAATGTTGAGGGTAGTTGGATTGCCCCTGCTGAATTTGCACATAAGGGTGTGATGCCCCTCTTTGAACTTCTCTGGATCCCAAAGTCATCATGGACCCTTCATCTCTTTTCTTTCTATTTGCCATACTTCCTGAGCCATTTTGGATCGCCTGGGTGGTGGCTTTGAGAGCAGCTTGACTTACAATTCTGCTAGTCTTGAGGCCATTTTCGACTATTTCCCCTATCTTGATTGCTTCTGCAAAAGGTCTGCCCATTGCAGACATTATGTTTTGGAAATAATCAGGCTCTTGAGCCTCTAGAAAAACAGTGATCAACTCATGGTTATCCATTGGTGGCTTGACTCTAGCCTCTTGCTCCCTCCACTTAATGGCATACTCCCTAAAACTTTCGATCGGCTTTTTCTTCATATTGGACAAGGAATTACGATCCGGCGCAATATCAATGTTGTACTAAAATTGTTTGACGAAGACCTGGGCCATATCATCCCAAACATGCCACTGAGAGATATCTTGGTCAATGAACCACTCGGAAGCTACCCCCACAAGGCTTTCCCCAAAATAAGCCATCAGCAGCTCTTCTTTTCCTCCTATACCCCTCAGCTGGTTGCAATACCTTTTCAAATGGGCGATAGGGTCGCCGTGTCCATCATATTTCTCAAATTTTGGTGTCTTGAACCCTCGTGGCAAATGGATGTGAGGGAACATGCATAGATCACTGAATGAAACACTTTTGAGACCAGCTAGTCCCTGTATGTTCTTTATATTCTGTTAAAGACTTTTCAATTTCCTAGCCATCTCATCTGGCTCAAACGTCGTGGCAGGCTTTTCATTTTCCACTGGTGACTCGTATTGAGGAGTTTGATTGTATGGAGCCGAGACCCTGAAAGCCATATTTGGAGAATAGTATTGGCCATCATAAGCATGAGATGGTGGCTCATTGTTTGTCCTCGTCACAGGAGGTGGTGGCGGGATTGTATATACCGGTGCGCCAGACACGACGAGAGGGGTGTTTCTTGACTAGTGCGACTGGAGGTCGCATATTAGAGGTACCGGGGGTATCATGGAGTCTGTAGTTTGGCACATACCCTGGTGGTAGAATGTGATCGCTCGCTGCATGGAGCGGTGGTTGAGTAGCCTGTGGTGCGGTGGAAGTTCCCTCCGAGGGACTCTGGGGTGGAGGTTGACCAGAAACCCAAGCTTGATATACATCTGACAGTTGCTGTCTCAACTTTCTTATTTCCTGCGACTCTTGCTCAACTGACTAGCCCTGGGGATCGTCACCGACCAACTCGATTTCATCACTGTTATCCATTACTGCCGTTCCCTTAGATCTTGTGAAGTAATGATGTGTTGCCAGTTTCACCACAAACCAACCACCTTAAGCTTACTATATAAGAGACAACAAACGTGTTAGGGTTAAGCATTTTACATATATGAATCGCACGTAATATGCCATGTCCCTTGCATTATCACCATTTCTAACATGCTTTTGGAAGGCTTCATGTTTCATTCCGGCTTATAAGGTTGCTGCTTATTGACGCTCTTATTTCTTTTTCTTTTTTTTTTCGCTTTTTCGTTTCACTCGCCTTATTTTGATCCCTCATTTTAGAGTCATTGAAAAATATTTGATAGAACCTTTTGGGGGTTGCCTACATATCATGTCGCCGCATGAATCAGATCATTACGTAGTTCAGGGCCCATTTCTTTTTACAAAGCAAACATCTTTTTGGTTCATTTTCGAATTTTTCTAAACAAAATCTTTTTCATTGATTTTTCAATATATATATATATACAAGACTCAAAAACAAGAATTACATAAAGATAAACAATTAAACAAGACCAGATTTGACTCAAACATACTTTTTAAAATAAAAGGCAAAATAACAAGACTCAAAACAACAAAAGACTCTTACAAACTCAAAGATAACAAAAGAATAATCAAAAGGACTGCTAACTAAAGAAGACTTTGATCTCTGCAGTAGAATCCACCAGCATCACTGTAATCAAGGTCCATGTTCCTGCGGCTGACCCCCAATATTGCGGTATATCCTCTCCAAGTCTGCAGATATATGACGAGCAACGTTCAATGATACTTCTGCAAACCGCTCAGGTATCATTCCCTGGCAATAATACTTCAGCTTCTTTATGCTTCAATATCTGTATCTTATGTGACCGAGTTGGTTTGGAGAGGTTTTGGTAGGAAATGAGACACTTAGTCTCTTTAAGGAAGGTTTGATTTGGAAAAGTCAACCGGATGTTGACTTGTATGTTAGAGGGCTCGAATGTGATTTCCTGTGATTTGGTTAGCTTCGGGGGATGATTTGTCACTTAGGAGTGTGATCAGAAGTGGTTTTGGAGGCCCGGTGTAGAATTAGACTTGAATTGGCGAAGTTAGTATTTTGGCGAATTTCGGTTGATAGGTGAGATTTTGATCCGAGGGTCGGAATGGATTTCCGAGAGTTGCTGTAGCTCCGTTATGTAATTTGGGATGTGTGTGCAAAATTTCAGGTCATTCGGAGGTGATTTGGTTAGGTTTTTGATCGAATGCGTGTTTCGTAAGTTTTAGAAAAACTTAGGCTTGAATTCGATGAGATTGATGGTTTTAGTGTTGTTTGAGGTGTTTTGATGATTGGAACAAGTTTGGATGATGTTTTAGGATGGGTTGGTGCTTTTGGTTGATGTCCCGGGGGCCTCGGGGTGATTTCGGATGGCTAACGGGAGGTTTTGAACTTGGAAAATGTTGCAGAAAATTCAGCAGCTGTTGCAGAGGATTCTTGGTCATCGCGATCGCGTGGGTAGGATCGCGATCGCGTAGAAGGATTTTGGGGTAGGTCTGAGTTTGTGCTTCGCGTTCGCGACTGAGGGACCGCGTTCGCAGAGTGGGAGCTGCTTGTGCTTCGCGTTCGCAGAAGAAAGGTCGCGTTCGCGTATAAGGTTTGGAAGTCCTGAGGCAAGTGTTCTTCGCGTTCGCGTGAATTGGGACGCGTTCGCGTAGCTTGAGGAGTCAGAGCATCGCGATCGCGGGGGAGGACGCGCATTCGCATAGGGTAATTTCTGAGAAAAAGTAAAAGGTGCTTCGCGATCGCGGGGCTGAGGTCGCGATCGCGATGAAGGGCTACAGGACCTGGGCAGAATAGTTTTTAAAAACATTTCCTCCGCGAGTCTAAGTTATTTTCCTCCATTGTTGAGCATCTTGAGAGCTTTTTGGGAGGAATTGAAGAGGGTTTCGACTGGGATTGATTGGAGGTGAGTCCTATGAACTAAAAACATGATTTAATTGTGAAATTAACCCTGAAATTCATGGAAACTTGGCTAAAATTGGAAGAACTAGGGCTTGGGATTTTGAGATTTTTAAATTGGGATTTGAAGGGTCATTTGAGCTCGGATTTGAGAGTTCTTGGAATGAATAGACTCGTGGCAAGATAAGGAACCCGTTGATATGAAAATTTTTGAGTTTCGAGAAGTGGGCACGGGGCTCGGGTTTTGCAAATTTCGGGATTTTTGATGTTTTTCGATTATTTTCGATTGGGTTTTGTTCCCTTGGACTATTGTGACGTATTCGTTGTGGTTTTGATCAGGTTCGACGCGCGAGGAGGCCGATTTGAGAGGCAAGGGCATAGCGAGCTAGAGTTTTGGCCGGCTTGAGGTGAGTAGTGATTGTAAATGATGTCCTGAGGCTTTGAAACCCCGGATTTGCACAACGTAGTGCTATATTGAGGTGAAACAGGCGCTTAAATGACGAGCGCGGGGTTGTTTACTATTGGGGATTGTGGCGTTGTCCGTCCCGATTGATGTTTTTACCGCGCATTTGACTGAGACTTGTTTTTTATCATCATGATTTGAGTTTATTGCCATATTTGGGCTTAATGCCGACTACTTGAATCCTTCGTGGACTTTTGTCACTGTTTCCTCACTATTTTGACAAATTACTTGAACTCAGTCCTACTGATTAATACTGCTTTACAAACTCAGCCACTTTTACTTGAATTTTTAAACTTAAATGACATTTCCAATGTTGTTTGGGCTGAGCACTACTGTTTTACTGATACCCGAGGGGCTTGTGATGATTTGTGGACTGATTGAGATCGAGGGCCATATGTGAGGATATGCTGAGTGATATGAGATACTTTATATGCCATGAGGTGGCTTGAGTGATGGGAGGCCGAGTGATGTGAGGCCGAGTGCCGAGTGATGATGCCACGAGGTGGCTTAATATAGCGCTTGGGCCGTAAGGGGCCCCTCCAGAGTATGCACACCCACAGTGAGTGCGGGTACCCATATGATCTGAGAGTGAGCCCGAGTGGCTGATACTATCCTCGAGAGGCTGCAGAACCTTTAGGAAAACTCCATATTCTTGAAATTCTTGTCGTGCGACTTTATTGATCCGAGAACTAAACTTCTGTATTCTATTCTTTCGCAGATAGCGAGGATCCGCGCTACCGGACGAGGTGGACGACCACCAGTACCACCCACTGAGGCCACCAGAGGCCGTGGACACGGTCGTGGTCGTGGTAGAGGCAGAGCGGTGAGGGCAGCACCTGTTGATCCACCAGCTGCCCTAGCTTCGGATCAGGCTCCAACAGCACCAATTCAGGCACCAGCTGTGCCCATCGTGATTCCGGGTCTTCAGGAGACCTTGGCACAGATATTGACAGTTTGCACTGGCCTGGCTCAGGCAGTTTTAGCCACCACAGCGGCAGCTACTTCGCAGGCCGGGGAGGCACCCAGACCCCCGCTGCTCGCACACTTGAGCAGGTAGTGCAGGGACTACAGACGCCAGAGGCACCTCCAGCTCAGTCGGTTGCACCAGTGCAGGAGTTTAGGGTTCCAGTTATGCCGGAGGATGAGCAGCATCGTCTTGAGATGTTTGGTAGACTCCAGCCTCCGACAATGAGTGGTGCTGAGGGCGAGGATGCCCAAGGTTTTCTTGACAGGTGTCTGCGGATGCTCTGTACAGCAGGGATTCTTGAGTCTAGTGGTGTGGCATTTACCACCTTTCAGTTTACTGGGGCTGCCTTCACGTGGTGGGAGGCATATGAGAGGCGTAGGCCGGTTGGTGCAGCGCCTTTGACTTGGCAGGAGTTCTCCACTCTCTTCTTGGAGAAGTATGTACTGCAGTCCCGCAAGGAGGAGCTGCGTAGGCAGTTTGAGTGGCTACGTCAGGGAGATATGACTGTGTCTCAGTACAAGGTGAGGTATTCTGAGTTGGCTCGTCATGTCTCCTGGATGGTCCCGACAAATCGTGAGAGGATCAAGAGGTTTGTGGATGGCCTTAATTACCATCTCCGTGTTTTGATGACTAGAGAGAGAGTTTTGGGTATTTCATTCGAGGAGGTGGTTGATATCGCTCGTGAGATTGAGACGGCTCGCCGGCAGGATAGAGAGGAGAGGGAGGCCAAGAGGCCTCG